GCAACGATTTTTGTGCAGAGCTGGTTAAAAATTATTTTAATGATCATCCCTTTTCACTAAAAGTAAGATTTTTGGGAGCTGCTAAGGTCTTGTCAGACTCTGAGAGATATGTTCTATGTGCCTTCTGTGTCGAACCAATCTGCAATGGACATCACTAAACTAGTGCAGAAAACACTTGCACAAAATGAATTTTGTGTGAAGGTGAGGATTATACTAAATTAGATGTTATTTGTGGTTAGTTACTAAAATAACAGATGTTTTAGCATAAATATAAGATTCTCTCCCATAATTGTCATTGAAAAGCGCATGTTTTATAGTGTTATAATTTATTGCCAATGTTTAGCCAGTATGCAAACCTTAAGTGATATTGCACCAGTCTATGAAGCGCATATAAAATTAAATTATTACACCGACCATTTACAATTGTAGAAATTTAAATCATTCAGCATGTACTAATGGAATGAGTTTAGCCCAGAGCCCAAAAATCCACTGCATGGCCCTGTGCACAGTGAGTGTTGTTTCATATAGGAATACCCTAAAAATTAGTGATTAAATTTATTAGAAAGATTTATCTAGTTCACTGAACCTTAGCTATGTTTCTTTCAGGCTGTTGAGTGTAGGAGGGTAGTGGATGGCAAGCGGTTATTGCGATATGCAGCCATTGTGTTAAATAAAGCTGAATATGGGTAAATACATTATTCTGTATATTCACATTATTCTGTATATTTACATTATTTTATTGTATTCACAGTGTCAATGCATTGTTTCACCGTTAGTTACATTTAAATTAAATTATTAACTTTCTGACTATTTTGTCTCCAAGGTTAATGAAAGTTAGTTTCTAGTCTGGTCTAGTTTAAATTTTGAAAACTGTCCCATAAAATTAATTTGCACTCTTAGTATCCTTTATTTTATTTTTACATGCCACATACCAAAGTAATGTGTGAGTCTTGTAAATTAATTTCAGAATTTGCAACTCTGAATTAATTAAATCACCTCCTCTGTAGTGTTTTCCACAAATGGAAATAATAATAAAATTAAAGATTAATACTTTTAAAAAAATCATAGATATTTTCTATTATTTTACAGAAATCTAAGAAGTTTAAATGCACAAAAAATATTATGTATCCGCTTTTATTTTAGTAAAACTTAAAGTATTATTATCTTAAATGATAAATACATTTAAAATGACAATAAACGAGCTATTTTAAGTATTTTATCCAAGTTTGAAATTTATGGGAAAAAAAATTATTTTAATAAAATATGATCAAAGAATTACATTGTAATCACATTTATCGGGAAAACCCAAACATCTGTTTTGTTTAGTGCGGTTTTTTTAGTGCATTGTTAATATGTGAAATAAAATTAAAATTACTTTATTGTAAAGAAATAGTCATCACTGAAATGACTATCTAGCCGAAGTTCCAAGTTTCTTTGATTTAATAACCACAAGGGACAGAACTGATAATGTATTTTCCCTTCTTAAAAGTAAAATTAATAAATAATAATAATAAGACGTCTTATATAGCGCGGTACCCCAGCCTAGGGCTGGGCTCACCGCGCTGTACATAAAAATTTTATCAAAAGAGACATAATTATGACATTAAAATAAAATACATTTATGAAAAAAAAGAACAGCAATTTATATTCACCCACCCCACCACATAACTTTCACAAGACAAACCATGGACGGCAGCCAGCAAGATCATTTATCGGTCAGAGGAGGGGAATCAGTCAGGGTAGTATAATTTAAAAAGATATGTTTTGAGTGCAGTTTTGAAGGCCTGGGTGGTTGGTATATTGCGTATGTGTAGTGGCAAAGAATTCCATTGTTTGGGGGCGCAGAAAGAGAAAGATCGTTCACCATATGTTTTAGTGTGTGTCTTGGGAACGGACAGAATACGCGTGTCTGCAGAGGAGCGAAGCTGTCGAAGGGGTGAATAGACAGAAAGAAGTTCGGTTAGATATGAAGGGCAGGAATCCAAGAAAAAGTTGTGACAGAGAACAGACAACTTGTAGTCGATGCGTGCCTGTATAGGTAGCCAATGAAGGGAATGGAGTAGTGGAGTGACTTTTTAAATTGACTTTGATTGCTTTTTAAATCTATTTGTATAAAAATGAATGTTTATATGTATGTAAGTCCCATATGCTCCTGTACCATTTATGTGATTGCCAAAAAACTTTAGTGAGTTGTTATACAGAAGCCTGCTCATATTTCTGAGTCATTACAATTCTTTTGAATTATTCAGTTTCGGGCCGTTCGCCCTAATTTTGTTTTTTCTTATATGAGCTTTATAAATATAATTTCCGTATGCGCTCCTATACCATTTATCCGATTGCAATAAAACTTGGGTAAGTTGTTGTGCACATGCCCGCAAAGGTTTCTGAATTATTACAAGGTATATAAATATAATTTCAAACAGAGCTAATGCATGGGTGGAAATTATTTTAATCAAATACCAATACCGGCATTTCATTTTGTGTGTGCCATAATTAGTAGGTTTCTGAATTGAGTATAACCATTTTAAAGTATTCCATTTGTGGCCGGGGCCATATATGAGCTATATAAGTATAATTTCAAACAGAGCTATTGCATGGTTGGATCAATCGCTGCAAGTGTGTGGTCTGACTTTTTAAAAATCCTTGCTTCTCACATGGAAAGCTGTATGTGGCCTGCTCATGGATAGAAAAACCTTCTAATTTATTCATGTACGCACCATACAGAAAAAAAAATATTGTCCATATAAAAAGTACTTCAAAAAAAATTATTAAAACACTAAAACTTTCTTTCTTAGAGTGGCATTGCAACTCATGCCGGGTTTTCGCTAGTTATATAATATCCTCTTTATAGTTTCTATTAGTGAAATTAGAATTCTATTCCAGAGACTTTAAAATATTTTTCTGCTTATTTGTATTTCAAAATAAGTCTATAATTTTAAGATACATTTGGTTAATGAAATGGAGTTCTTCTTCTCTCTTAGAATCTTCATTTTCTCTGCCAAGCAAGTCCCTTGTTTAAACTCTAGTGATCTTACCCTGGAGACAGTTGTCTCAGTTGATGGAGTACTTAGATGTCATGCAGGTATTTTATAGTTCTATGTTAGGATCATCTATAAATATGAAGTAATTAAAATTTTGAAAAGTAATTTAGTTATTGTTTCCCTATAACTACAACAAAGATACATTTTAAAAAAAAAATTATCTCTATCATTACCTGTTAGGATTTTAAACATAAAAAATGTGTTTGATTTTAAATTGATTTGTCAATATATTTTTTTGTTACAGAGGCCCCATCAAAGCAGTCAGGTAAGATTACATGATATATTTATACCATTTTATCCATGCTCTTTGTTTCATAAAAGATGTAATCATGTTCTTTTTATGAAAAAAATGTAATTCACACAGTTCCAGAACTCCTCTTAAAATCTATTTTAGATTTAATTTGTAAATTTAAAATTTATTTTCAATGTTGCCCTTAAAAATCTTTAAAAAGCCATGATTGGAGATCAGTTCCTTTTTTTAAAAAATTGAATCAAATCTAAACAGTATTTATATGTACTCCATTCCTGTAAAAAAAAAAAAAAAGCTTCTTATGTAAAGTCGAATGGATTACACTGTAACAACTGTGTAGTTTATCTAATGAGGGGAGTTAACATAACATGTCTTGAAGAATCTCTCTCCATCACAAAATATATATGTTATGGAGAAATTCAGTTGGGGAGTATTGATTTTGAGTATTCAACCTAACACACACGACCCAAACCAACCAATCCTATCAGATCAAGAGCAGTGTTTCCCAATGTGGTGGTCAGTGTATTCTTTTGTTTCCAGTCCGCATTAGCGTGAGCCAAAAATCTGGAACATAAGTTAAATGTTTCCCCACTTAAGTCTCATTCCTAATCCACTTCCAAAAAACGAGATTTGTATATTGCAAAAACATGAGATCCACCATCTCTAATGATTTTTCTTCTAACATTTGTTTTATGTTCCTTATTGTTTTTCAGTCTTATGTTATAAATATATTTCTTTAAATTGTTATTTAAGTTTTTTTTCCTTATTAAAACCATAGCAAAAAAAATAAAAGTATAATGGCTATCATTAATTACATACAATAGAGTCATATGGAATAGGCTGATAGCAAATTTTAAAATGTTTTAAAGTTAACCCTTTTGAGACAGAGCCATTTTGGACTGTTGGTGCTGAGAAGATGGAGCCTTTTGCACAAACCCTGCACGTTTTTTGCAAAAAAATGTATTTAATAAAATAAACTAATTACTTTACATCTATAAAACTATTTATAATCTTGTAGGGAATTGAAGTAACTTATATGATCTTTATGAATCAAACTGAAATCTCAACATTTATGCAAATGAGATATTCTTTTTACATAATTTAAGCATGCCAATTTTTTTACACTTAGAATAAACACATCTTACTTGCAGAACTTTGTTAAAATTTGAATGAGATTCAGTATGAAAAACTGCATAAAATATTCCCCTGGGTCTGCATATGCCTTTTGGCATATTTCAAGGTCATATATTTTCAAAGCAGTTTTAGGAGTCACTAATAACCACACAAAAAATTGATATTAAATGACAGAACATCATAAATTATCAATGGTAGCCTAAAATGGCAACATGAATAAGAAATACGAGAAGCAATCTGATTAGTTGGTACAAAATCCAGCCAGCCACTCTGAAGACTTTTATTTTTGGGCAGATGGATCTGCCTTTTGTCTTTAAACTCTAGACCGTTAGATCTGTCCAGCCGTTAAAAGAGAGTTAAGGTCAAAAACATAATAAATCTGGCTATGGTCCTTGGTGCAAAGGAAAACTGGTCCACCAGCCTGCCAAACTGGTCCACCAGCCTGCCAAACTTAGAAGTTTGAGTAGCACTGATCAAGAGCATGCCACATAACCAACATTATCTACACCAAACATTCCTGTCAGCTCTAGAGTACAACACATAACCTACACTAACTAATCATATTTTGTTGCCAGATTTCCGCCTGTCTCTCAAATCATCTGGAACCAACATTTTATTGGAGATGCCAAAACAGGATGCTACCACTGACTTCTTAGGAGAGATCAAAAGAGCAACAGATGGTAGGTTGTTAGTTGGATCAAATTTAAATTTGCATTCAATTTTTGTATCCACTTGCTCTATGCCAATTATGTCATAAAAAGTGCATTAACTCTCTCATTAAAAAAAATTTGGCAGAGAATAATGAATTGTTTCCTTAGAGTGCACTACAAGAGGTAGTTCCAGGAAAATAATGTGAAGTTTTTCTAAGAATAGCTGCCTTGCTAATGAGTCCATTCCACCCAGCCAGGCATAACCTATTGGTGACCCTTGACAAATTTAAACACTAATTTGTGATTTCGCAGTGATGTTAAACATTGGATAAGTAAACTTCATAATGGATATATAATGCTGTTTGTATGAAACTTAAAAAGTCACTCACTAGGAATTTGACACACTCAATGTGACTGTAAGGGAAGCAACCAATGTTTTAGTTTTATCCACACAAAAAAAAGAACAGTAAACAAAGAGGGAGAAAATTTAAAAAGAGGCATTTGATTTGCTGGGGAAATGATAGAATTTTTAAGACATACAAATGATAAAGATAAAATGTCAAGAGTAACATCAAAAGCATAAGGGTTTAAGCAGCATGACCCATCTATGCCCAGTGCAGCAGTATCAGCAGTAATATTACAGTAATCTTGACTATTTTTTCCATTATAGTGCAGTCTCATTCTTCAGTATTTGGCGAGCCGACCACGTTCTTTACCTGGCTACAAAAGTATAGGAAACAAAGCACTGAGTACATCCAGTCATTGGCAGAGAATCCATTTGTTGAAGACACTTTTGATCCCTTGAAACATATGAATCTGGGAGGCACCAATGTGCATGTTGTAGCAGCAGGTAAGTTATGGGCATCATTTTTACTTACGTTGGTATGTTGCTATGTTATTGGAACTTGCAATACAACATAGAATCTTCTATATGGCCATGGGATTATAATGTATACATTGGAACTTATAATACAAGCAAAACAAAATCTTTGTGGCCATGGGATTAAAATGTATACAATGGAAATTATATACATACAACACAAAATCTTCTGTATGGCAATGGTAATAATGTGTACGTTAATGGTGGTTGAGGTTGTTTTACTCAGGGTTTACCTCCTCCCAAGAATATCTGTCCTGCTCGGTTTAGGACCTCATTCCTCCAGACCATTTACCCAAGAATGACTCTACACAAAGTTGTAGATATTATATAACATGGATTCATTTCTTATATTCTGAGGGAAACATCTTAATTTTAAGAAAACCAAGAAAACAGTCATTAATGGTCATAGATTACAGGATGGTTTTTTTCAGCTTACTTTAATGTACATTACTGCTGATAATAGATGGTCATGGTGTGGCGTCTATTATTCTTGGAAAAAAAATAAGTATTTTAGGAGAACTGAATTAATTGACCATTAAAACATACCCTGAAAAAAACAAATTGTGTGCAAACTTTTCTGAAGGGGTCACACCTTTTTTGTTTCTATTTATTTATAATAAATGAAGGACACCGTTCAAGCTGTGTAAATGAAATAGAACAAGGTAAGTTGAAGCTTGAATTACTGGACAGGACAACAAGGTGTGAACGTTTCGGCTCAGAGCCTTCTTCAGCGAATGAAAATACAACAAGAAACAGAGCACAGTATTTATATTGTTCATATTATGTTATCCTGTCTATTGATTCAAGCTTCAACATACCTTGTTCTACTATTCTATTTATTTACAAGTTATTCTTCATAGTAGAACTATCAGCACGTTAGCAGACAATCATTTTGTTAATTAGCTTTTGCCCCAGTAGTTATTCATTTTCTTATTTCTCGTATTATTCCAAAATATTTTTGTCCATTAAAATCTTATTTTCACAGTAATAATTCATTAATCATTATTACTTTCTTTAATTTGGTTTTTAAAAAAAAATTCAAGCTATATGTGATTATGGCGAAGACTTAAGTTTTTCAAATATCTGTTATTTTTTGTTATTTCTTCATTCATCCTGTCAGCTAAGGAAGGCTTTCAGCTGAAATGTCTTTATTTTATTGCTCTGTCTTTCTATTTTGAGCTTCCACATACTTTGTTATTCTATTCCAAGCTTCCACGTACCTTGTTATTCTATTCCAAGCTTCCACGTACCTTGTTATTCTATTCCAAGCTTCCACGTACCTTGTTATTCTATTCCAAGCTTCCACGTACCTTGTTATTCTGTTTCATATGTACATCCTCATACTTCCACCTGGGAAAGTTGGTTTAGATTTTGTTAGGTTTTTTTTTCCCCTCACTTTTTGTAAGGAACTGGCAACCAAAGATGCTCCAACTTGGTACTCTGTTCTGGCATGTACTAACAGCGCTTATAATTCCAGCCTGGTGTTCTGATTGGGCCCAGTACCATTTTGAGATAACGAGTGGTTGAGATAGTGTTTTATACATTTATTTTCTGTATCATGATGAAGGTTGAAGTTTTTGACATAACATGCACATTTTAACAATTTAACCTCCTTTCTCATCACATACATTTAGTCCATGATTTATTAAATGCAAATAAGTTCCAAAGTCATCTAAGAGGCTTTAGTTATGTGTGGGGGAGGTGGAGAAAAGAGAGTCCATGTTTTATTACAGTCTGTACACCCAGACACTTGAATCTGGTACATGCCATTGACACTGAACCACTTGACTCAATGAAGAGTCTAAGATGAACTGGCTACTGCTGAACTCTTTTATGTCTATTTTAATCCATTTATCTATATTCTTTTTTTTTTTTAATTTATTTATTTTATTTTTTCCTTTAGTTTTATGCATTGTTAATTTCTTCTAACAATAAATCCTTTTGCTTGCTTTTGCTCTGCAGTCCCCACGATTACAGTTACAATGCACATCCATCTATATATTCCATCAAAGGCACTCTATCCATCATCCATTATTTTAACTCATGTGTATTCCTCATTCCAACATTTTGTATCTGTTAATTATTTACCTGACATGGTTGTTAATTGATTTTTTGGATTCCTCCCAGTTACTATGTTCATCTCTCTAATTAGCCCATCTCCATTATTCTGTCATCACTGCACCCTTTATGTCTCCATCCCTCCGGTCTCTTCCAACCATTTCTTTCTAGCCTTCACTTATTCGCTGTCCAGAAATGCACTTATGCCATTATGAGCAATAAGGATGTTTATATTTTGCAAAGCATTTTGAACATTAGTGTGTTGTGCCCTGAGCCGTCAGTGTGTTTGTTGAGCTACTCAGATTTTTCATTTGGAGAGAGACTTGTCCTTCTGTATTTTCATCATGGTGGTTTATTGTTCCAGATCAAAGTAATCATGTGATTTATTTCGTGTATGGATTGAAGCTGTCACATGACAGCATACCAGTAGACATTATGTTCAGTGTCTGTCAGCATTTCATTGCCTGTCTGTCTATCACAGACCACTTCTATTTGATTTAACAATTCTGGATTGCATGTGTATCATTTCAACCGGATTTGCTAATGCTAGCAAGTTCTAAAAACCTAACTGGTGATTTTTCCATGGAAAACATTATGTAAGGGGTGACCAGTTGATGAACTTTGGGAGCTGAACATAATAATCCATGTTCAAGAGTTGTGATTTCTTAGCTATCTTTTAATGACACATTACCTTATTTGTAAAATATTTTATCACATCTTTCAAGCTTCAATATGGCCGACCCTGGTATGTGTGGTGCTGTTCAAAAGATCATTTATTTAGTAATGAATACCTAAACTCAAGTTAATAATTTTGTTTAAATTATACAGCTCTGCATTTAATTCTTCTTTGAATTTTGGATTCATATTTAATATAACCAATGGAACATTGTATTTTTAATGAGATTATTGTGACTAAATTTTTAAAATTTAACAATTACCAAATTTAGGCTTTTATAGTGAGTTTTATTTGATTGAGGTGAGCAGATAAGCTTGAATATAACTTCTTTTGACTATGAATCAAAGCTTGTGAGTCAAAAGTATATGTTTTATCTTTGTTAATTCCGCTTTTATTCTTAATATATATTTATATCAGTTGTAATCAGAGTTTGCATTTCACCATTTAAAACCATTACTTTCTAAATAACTAATTTTATTAGGGTAAAGACCCACATGACCATAACTGTTTTTGTATTTGAGTCTAACCATTGGCTCAGTGAAAATCAATATTTTCCACGAAGAAAGAGTTTACCACTTTGTCCAACTCAGAGACACTCTAAGCTGTAATATGAAAATTATCTATATTCTGATCTCCCCTTTCACTCAAGTGTTTTTTTATTTGAAGAACAAAGGCAATGAAAATATTTGTACAATTTGAATTTATTTTGTTGAAGCCCATTGCCCTCCCTGTCGGCCTCCAGGCTTCTGCTGACGCCCATCTCCCCAAGATTGCAGAAACCTGGATTTGTAATTCTGATTTGATTTTTTTCTTCTGTTTCTCCTCCAGAAAGTACTTCAAGACAAACCATATGGTTTGAGGACGATATATCCAAAACGACTCTACAAAATAACCACAAGGCTGTGGCCAAATCCCAAAGCCGAGATTCACTTGACAAGATGATTTTAGGGTAAGTGCTCAAACTATAATAACTTAGTATATCTTCATATGTTGAAAAAAAGCTTTTGCTGCACTGTTGGTTTTTTGTAATTTGCTCAATGACACCATTTATCTATTCTTGGCCTTTGTTGTAAAAAGAAAATGTTGCAGTTTATAATTCAGATAAAATAACTTGTTTAAAAATTGGTTTTCATTTTATGATTATGTATAAGAAAAACTAGGCTTACAATAAGTCTCTAATTTTGTGGTTTAGTAGTGACTCCACAGCCATTTTAATACTTACTGTTTTAATTTGGTTTAATTTCTTAGGGACGAAGATTTCACGGATGCAATTGACAGTATGCAGATGAGATTGGGTTTATCACCGGGTAGCGAACTCCCTTTAGGTGCAAAGCCAGTGACCAGTCGGGAGAAGGTTGTCAGACAATGTCTGACTGAAAAAGAAGTGGAGTTCACTGATTTAAAAACATTTAAGTAAGCATGATCCCATTTAACCTGACTTTCATTTTGTTTGATTCTTATTTTGTTTGATTCTTATTTTGTTTGATTCTTATTCTTATTTTGTTTGATTCTTATTTTGTTTGATTCTTATTTTGTTTGATTCTTATTTTGTTTGCCTTGTCAATCCTTTTGTTATAATTTGATCTTAATCTAATTTACTGTTATCTCCCTTAGATCTAATTCTATATATGATCAACTGTCATATCCTCTGAAAACTCCCCTCAACTGTGTTTGATTCTGTATATTTTCTAGAGTGTTTTGTGGAACATGGAATGTCAATGGTCAGTCACCTGCTGAAAGTTTGAGCAAGTGGATGGTAGTTGATGAAGAGCCTCCTGATATTTATGCCATTGGGTAAGCTATGAATATTTTTCTTAAGAATGTACCTAACAAAATGTGATCCTTTTCTTTTCATATATCTGATTTAATTTTGTTTTTTATATACTGCTTTTTTTTATAAAAATTTTATATATATTTTAAAATTAGATTTAAGCCATTGTTGATTCCTGTATGCATCTAAGTTCTAAGCCAAGAGATTTTGAATGGGTTTGTGTTATGGTTTCATCCAATGGTAAAGTAATACACTGAAATTAATTGAATAACTCATGGATTATTTTCAGATTAATTGATTATTTATTTTATAGTTGGCTGATTATTAAATTGACCTACTGTGTTATGCAAATTGAGCAGCAAATAGTGTTAAGGAAAATGCACAGCAGATGAGGTTTTACTATACTGCCAACTGAGAAAATGCTTGGTGCATTTTATATATATTTCTTCAATGATCAAAAAGTGTTGGTAGCTGGGAGGGGATTGCACTATGCAGATACAAACTATGCTATTGTTACATACCATTATACGGTTTTTGCAAATTTAATCTGTTTCAAGATTTGGCTAGTTTGTTGAACAATGCTTAACAAAGGACTGAAAACCAGCTTACAAAGTAAAAAATGGTATGAAAGCTAGTGATATTAAAAAATATTAAATTTAATTATACAATCTTTTATATTAAAATATACAAAATCAAATATACATAAATAAAATTTATCCTAACTTACTGCATAGGAAGGGAAAAGATATAATCCTCAAAAGATACAAATGTTAAATTTAAATATACACAAACAAAGAGTACAATCTTGTAAGTCTCCCTTAAGTATATTACATCGTGTAAGTTTTGTGGCTAGAAAATCTACCAAAATATCTCCCGACTGGGAAAGCTGCCGTCTGTTTTATAGGGAGGGAGTTAGAACTCACAACTCACCTGAAGAGAATTATAGAAATTACATCACCTGATAGCATTCGTTTTTAAAAAAAATTAGAATATAAACAACATTTCCCAGACATTTAATCGGTGACTTCAGTATCAAAACAAATGGAGGGGGTTGGTGCTTAAGGTTGAATTTAAGGGCTTGTGGTGAACAAAAAATAGGTCAACACACAGGCTGTAATACTATAGAAAGATATTCTGATCATCTATTCACAGAGCTCATCATCATTTGTATTAAATGTGTTCACTGCTTTTAAAATGTTATTTATTTTTCTATTTTAAAAAACCAACAGCTTTCAAGAACTCGATTTAAGCAAAGAGGCTTTCATATTTAGTGATTCTCCCAAAGAGGCCGAATGGCAGGAAGCTGTGAAAAAATTTCTACACCCAAAAGCCAAGTATAAAAAGGTTAGTTGAGTTTAATGGGGCTCTAATCTTACATTTGTTTAACCAGAAAGACACAATTGCATCATTCTTTCCAGTGTTGAACCCTGTGACGAAAAAAAAAATACAAAAGAGACTCTCCATGCAAATTTTGTTGTAAGAATTACCCGCAGCACATTTTCTTTTTCTCCCTATCTGTTTGAACTTTAAGAGACCTGAAATACCAGACAGAAAGGTTCGAAGGTCTGGGTCATCAAGGTTCAAAACTTTGTGAAATATAAATTTTTAATACATCAAATTACACAAGCTTGTGATGAATCAATTTTTCTTTATTATATACCACCTGGATGAAGGAACAAAAATTAATGTAGGCATTTGTTATGGAATTTGGTTAAATTTTTATGCAAAATGATTTGATTTAAAGATTGTAATGTTACGAGAGCTGACACTCTATTGTCCATGTGTTACAGTTGAAGTCTATACGTCTGGTTGGAGTGATGCTGCTTGTCTTTATTCAGACTAAACATGTCCAATACCTTAACTACCTTGATACTGACACTGTTCCTACTGGCATCATGGGGCTAATGGCAAGTAAATTAGGCAACAATTAGAATGGAGAGAAGGTTATGTCGAGTATTTTTTTCTGGCTGATGTTATCGGTTTAATGTAATAAACTTTGATGTGTAGTTAAGTGACAGAATCTTATAACTAATGGAATTTAATATTTCCAGACAGTGCTTATCTAAAAAAGAAGGTTGTACATTCTTCATAATGAACAATAAAAATAAAGCTTTGTGTGGTAGAAGTTTGAAAAAAAGATTCTTTGGTAATTCAACCACAAAAATATATAGGCAATATAGAAACCAAGTTGGTAAACAATTCCTGAATAAGGCAATAAGAATGTATATCATATTACTATACAGCTTGTATAAACTTGTTTTTAAAAAGATTAGTGAATACATTTTGATCTCAGTTTAGGGTACATTCTAACAAAACCAAGACCTTTATATCAATCCAAATAAAGGTTTATTTATATAACTCAAAATGTTGTATAACTATGGGCTGTATAACTATGGTCTAAAATAATTATAACACAAAATGTTGTAGAAGTATGACATAGAATAAGTATAACACAAAATGTTGTATCACTATGGAATAGAATACGTATAACCCAATAGTTAGTGGAGTCCATATTCTCAAAATTAAAAAAAAATTCCTAAGAGTTATATTCTCTACAACAGCGTTTCCCAAACTGTTAAGTTTCACTGACCGGAGGACAAGTTTTGAAACTGCACCAGGGACCGGTGCCAGATTTATTAATTACATTTTCTTTCTATGTAAACATCAATATTCATGCTCTTTGGACCGGTAATGTAAAGTTTGCGGACCGGTGCCGGTCAACGGACCACCGTTTGGGGAATGCTGCTCTACAAGACTTATTGGAATATATTGGAATCATGTCTCCTGATACACCAATACATATATTCCTAATGACATGGACACAGAAGTTACATCAAAAACTGCTAATGATCCCATGGCAAAAATCTAGTGAATATAAGAAATATTATGATAGTAGTATCAATGATTATATAATCAAATCAACTTGCACTAATACAAGTAAGATATTAGTAATATTTTAATCTCATGGAAATCTATTTTCTTTATTGTCATAACACATAAATGCCTACCTCCATGATGCATGTGAGATCTTCATGGTCATTGTGTTGTCCTGTTTCAGGGGAACAAAGGTGGGGTATCCATTCGATTCTCTTTACACAGCACCTCTCTTTGTTTTGTCAACTCTCATTTGGCTGCACATCAAGATGAGTTTGAGAGAAGAAACCAGGTGAGTGGAATTAAACCTTCAACCTAGAGACAAGACCTTTTTTTTAATAACTAGACAATGACCATTTAAGCCCAATAGAGGCCGACCGAGCTTCGGCTTCGGTTTCGGCGCCGAAAGTGGCCATTTTATCACTTTCGGCCAAGTTTCGGTTTTGGCCGAAACTGAAAAGTTGACTTTCGGTTTAATTTCGGTTTCGGCCGAATGAGAAAAGTTAACTTTCGGTTTTTCTTCGGTTACTGCCGAAATTGACTTAGACTTTCGGCCATCCGGTCGAAAGTGACTCAGGAATTCGGTCATTTAATACTCAGCGAAAGCGATATTTAAAAACAAACTAAGCGACATTTAAGAACAAATTAAGCGATCTTTGAGAATAAACTAAACGATATTTAACAACAAACTAAGGGACATTTAAGAACAAACTAAACGATCTTTAAAACAAACTAAGTGATCTTTAAGAACAATCTAAGCGATCTTTAATAACAAAATAAACGATCTTAAAGAGCAAACTAAACGATTTTTAACGAACTAAATGATCTTTAAGAACAAAACAAAATGAGCTTTAATAGTAAACTAAATGATTTATACGAATAAACTAAGCGATCTTTAACAGAAAACTAAATGTTCTTTAGGAACAAACAAAAATATCTTTAAGAACAAACTAATCAATCTTAAGGAACAAAATCAATTATCTTTAAGAACATACTAAGCAATCTCTATGAAAAAACTAAGCGATCTTTAACAACAAACTAAGCGATCTTAACAACAAACTAAACAATCTTAACAACAAACTAAACGATCTTTAACAACAAACTAAATGATCATAACAACAAACTAAATGATCTTAACAACAAACTAAACGATCTTTAACAACAAACTAAACGATCTTTAACAACAAACTATACGATCTTTAAGATTAAACTAAGCGATATATTAGAACAATGTAAGCGATCTTTATGAACAAACTCACGGATCTTTAAGAAAAGACTAACCGATCAATAACAACCAACTAAACGATCTTTAAAAACAAATTAAGCGATCTTTTAGAACCACAATTTTTAGAGACCTGGTTTAAAAAAATTATATTTTGCATTAATTCCCACCCCCCAACCAATTTTTGCCAAATTTTATCCTACCATACTAATTTTAAAAAATTGTAAAGCAATTTAAATTACTTTTATATTATAATGGTAAAATCCAAAGTATTCATTAGATCAAGGATCTCAAACTCAAATCATGGAGGGGGGGGTGGGGGGGGGAGTATGGGGGCGCAGGAGGTAGTGTCTAAATGAGAGTGGGCCGCATCAAGTAATCCACAAAAAAGCGATTACAACTGTTACAATCTGCTCAACCTTTTATAAATAACAATGAAATCATTAAGGGTTCTCAAAAAATAGGATTCACTTTCATCCACCTACTCACTGTTGCATACAAAAACATATAGAAACATTTTTTTAAAAATCAGAATTAGACTAGTCGGTGAGATTCGACTGAAACCGTCGCGGAGAGTCACGTTATTAGATATGAGAATGGGGGAAACGGGCCGGCGCATTTACACTAAACTTTCCTGTCATGTAGCGGGCCGCAAAATATCGTCTTGCGGTTCACAAATGGCTCGCGGGCCGCGAGTTTGAGACCCCTATATTAGATGTTTATTTATTAATATTCACGATTATCTCATTTTTTTATAAAAAGAATGTAAATATTTATACTTTCCCACATCATTTTCTATGTATGCAGAATGTATGCGGGAACGAATTTCAAAATATCTTAATATTTCATGTTCGGTTTCGGCCCAAATTCATTTTTAAACTTTCGGCCTTTTTTCGGTTTCGGCCGAAAGTCATTTTAAAATTTCGGCCTATTTTCGGCTTCGGCCGAAATCAGAAAATCACTTTCGGTCGGTCTCTATTTTGGATCAAATTAATAATTAAAATAGTGAGTAAAATTTTCTTCCATAGTTTGGATAGAGATTCTGTGGCTGTGCTACTGATTTCAGTTGACAGGATTTTGAGTCAAATGCTAATGTTAAGCCCCATGGAAGTGATGGTAGTATTTACTTGTATTCGCTGACTACATGCTGTGCAGAGTCAAAGACTCCAAAGTTGATCATGGCCTGGATTCCTGCTAGAGTGTGGTAGTCCTCCTCATGGAGAATGTACCTGCCTTCTATCACATTGTATTTGCCTTCATTGTAAAGGTAGAACAGAATCTGTTCATCTTTAATCTGACAATGGAAAGATGCAGTTTAATTAAAATAAAGTTTGATTCAACAGAGAAAAAAAAATCACCAAAAAATGCAAGCACCTCCACAGTGGTTAATGTCAGGATATTTGTCAGCTAACTAAATAAATACCGGTAATAAATAATATTAAGTTACTATCTGGGAAGAGAGATTTGGGAAGGCTTTTAAAAAATATAAAAAAAACTTTGGTGCAGAATACTATGAAGTACCGGTAATCAAAGATTAACAATAACAATGAGCTGATGACCCAATAACCTGTGAAAGGTGAGAAAACATCATCTAGTATCTAGGTGGACAGACAAGCTCAGAAAACATCAACTAGGTAGACAGACAAGCTGAGAAAACATCAACTAGGTAGACAGACAAGCTGAGAAAACATCATCCAGGTAGACAGACAAGCTGTCAACTGTGCAACTCACCTGCTGTTCCTTTTCTCTAGTTAAAAACACATCCCTTTGAAACATTAACACAGGTTCACCTGAATGGACAAGATGTTATCAACTGTTATTATTGGCATCAGGCGATAATATATTGGACAAGAGCTAGTGCTCAGAAATTCATTGTCATTCATTTAACATGTATGGTGACCATAGACCAATGATATGGTATGATGATCTTACTTCAAAAAGTGTTCTCCTGAATATTTTGATCTCAAATATTATTCCATCTTTGTTGACCCCAAAATTTTAGCTTAATTAATTTTGCCATAAAAATAATTACGTTTAATCAAAGAAATTCAAAATGTTAACGAAATTACTTTCAAGAATTTCCTTTTCGGAAGCATCTGTATACATAGCGCAAAGGTGATCCCATTTCTGTACCACCACAAAGGGATTGTGATCCTTTTTAAGCCTCAGTTCTGGCAGAAACAAAAATTTGTTTCAGACAAAAGCCATACAATGCAAAAGATAATTGAAATGCTCCTTAATAAGGAGCCTGACTCAA